GAGAGGGGGGGAGAGGGTGGGTGAGAGAGACGGTGAATGAAAAAAAAAGAAATTTTAAAAGAAACAGGTGTGGGGGGAATGGGAGGGGACACTGTTTGTCTGTGTCTCAATCTCTTTATTTGCAGTCTCAGCAACCCCAAGAAAATCTCTGTGCTTATTCAATGGGTACTTACTGGAAAAGATGGCACGACATCTATGTGACTGTACAGAGCAATGGAAGGCAAGGATGGCTCAGTCCCCTCCCACGTGAAGATATCCATAGATCTGTTGCCTGCCAACTGAACAAGGAAAAAAGGATCTGTTTAAGATAGAATTTCACGGCACAAGATTTAATTAGAAAAACTGCTTCAGGGAGCTTGAACAGAAAGAGGGAAGGGGAAAAGCCACAACAATAATATGAGTCTGTCCAGAGCATTCACGTCGAGCAGTAAGTGGCAAACCATGATGGCTCTTTATACGTATCTATTTCAGATTTGGCACTGTATTATGATTACGATAATAACGATGATAACTAATAAAGAGGGAGAAATACATAAACGTTTATCTTGAATGGTGAAAAGAAAGACAAATATAAACTCTTACCCCCAAAATATATATATTAAAAATAAAGGTAAATAATAAAAGAGGTAAAAAACTTCAAAAACTCATCAACAATTGAACAGTTAGATATAAAATTTAATTTCCGGAAAGAAACGGCCAATAAGGAGAAAGAAAGAAATCAACAGTTACTAAAACAGTGTTTTTCAGAAGAAAAAAATAAATTCATGCATACTATCAAGCCTAAAGCATAATAAAAAAAATAAAAAACTGGATGAACAAATTTAAAAACATTTACCCCCCCCCCCTCCCGAAAAAAAAAGAATCGAACGACTGTTAAAGTTATGGTAAGGGAGAAAATAAAGCATCAATGTCTGATTTCTATGCTTTTCTTTGTAATTTAACTTCTTTTATTAAATACAGGAAAATGTTAAAATAATTATGCAATTTTTAGGCTTCACTTCAAGACATCAATATTCACTTCCGAAAAGAACGTTTGAAAATAAAAAGATTAATTAATTTTAATGTTGTTAGTAGATTAAATACCATGACAGACTGGAATGGGAGGCCAAGTTCAGAGGCGTACTTCTCGAAGAATTCCCTCGCGGCGTCTGAAAGTAAAGAAACAATAGAAAAAGGAAAGGATGAGAGAGCGATAAGGGAATGGGGGAGAGGGGGGTGAGAGGGAAGCAGACAGACAGACAAACAAACAGACACACATACAGAGAGAGAAAGAGAGAGAGAGAGAGAGAGAGAGAGAGAGAGAGAGAGAGAGAGAGAGAGACGGAGGGAAAGAGAGAAAGAAAATGAGTGAACGAGTTTGTTCGAGTGACTGACAGACATAAGAAAAAAAAAATACCGAGACAAACTGTCAGAGATAGGGACGGAGAGACAAAAGTCACACTTAGTTTTTCGGATAAATCTGAATTTTAAAGTATGGAGCCTCGTATTGTTATCTTAGAAACGGGTGTAAAATGTTCTCTGCTGTTTTATAACTAATGGACTCAACTATTTATCTCCCTAAGTGTACTTTGAATATTTCAAAAGGAACAGAAAAACTTATAAGAAGTAAAATCCCACTTGATATTTCTGGGGTAATTTTGAAAACGTGTCATTGTGATCCCTGGGCATAGTAAGAAACATTCTAGGTGGGGTGAAGAAAATACAGACACCTCTCAAATTAAGTCGTTACACATTTTATTCTTTAAAGCTCTTAAGCCAAATAGGTATGGCAGGACTGAGCTGACATAGTCACTTAAAAATTTAACAATCTGTCCAAATAAATTTTTAATCTAAAAAATTGAATAAGCATGCTGGTATAAAGGAACGTGATAAAGCAGGGGGGAAAGCGAAATAAAAGTACACACACACGCACACACACACACACACACACACACACACACACACACACACACACACACACACACACACACACACACTCAGTTATAGACAGAGAAGGGGACAAGGAGAGAAAGAAGAGATGGGCGGTTGAATGGAGAGAGAGAGAGGGGGGGGGGTGAGTGAGAGACAGATAGACAGATAAATAATGAAAGTAAAAAAATGTATATGAATATATATATCAAATGCATGTCCCAGGATGTTATTACCATAATCAGGAGTGGGTTGTGACGTGTTGATGCGAAGATAGTCCCGGAACCGAGTCACTGCGATGTCTTCTTGTGCCATGCCGAGGTGAAGAAGAGTCTTTGGACAATTTTAGAACTTGCCGATCTGGAAAACAAAGGGATTTTCATATCTATGTGTTCTTGGATCCATTCGTTCGTATATCTCACTCTCTCTGTCTC